AAAAAAAAAAAAAAAAAAGCAACCTGCACTATACAAATATATTAAAAAGAACCATACATGAGTGGTATTGAATAACATATAAAACTAAACATATCTGCCCTGTATCTATATCCTCAAAACCGTTAAATATGCTACTTAACGGTTTAAAACAAAATTTATTGGCTAGGCGAGGTTGGTTCACACCTGTAACCACAGCACTCTGGGAGGCTGAAGTGGGTGGATCTTAGCTCACAGGTTCAAGACCTGCCTAAGCTAGAGTGAGATCCTGTCTCTAAAAATAGACAGGTGCTGTGGCGGGCACCTATAGTCCCAGCTACTTGGGAAGCTGAGGCAAGAGAATCACTTAAGCCCAAGAGTTTGAGGTTGCTGTGAGCTGTGATGCCATGGCATTCTACCAAGGGCAACATAGTAAGACTCTTGTCTCAGAAGAAAAAAAAATTATCCATTCAAAATAATGTATATGAAATCATTGGATACATATTTACAAAGCTGTTCTTTGTAATCATGAAAAATCTTTTATCTCCATACAAGATAAGTTATAAACTCATTTACTCTAATGGAATTAGTTGTAAGAAAAATCTTTGCCAGCTTATGTTGATATGTTCTAATATCTTAGGCCTACTAATACTAACTGGCCATGGAATACCAGCAAGACTTCGTTTTTCGAAGAGACAGGGTCTCTCTGTGTCACCCACAATGGAATGCAGTGGAGTCATTGTAACTTACTGTTAACTTTGACCTCCTGGGCTCAAGTGATCCTCATATCTCAGCTACCTAAGTAGCTGGGACTACAGGTACACACCAACACAGTCCACTATATATATATATATATATTTTTTTTTTTTTTTTTTTGGAGACAGAATCTCACTTTGTTGCCCTAGGTAGAGTGCAATGGCTTCCTAACTCACAGCAATCTCAAACTCGGGCTCAAGTGATCCTCTTGAAGCTTGGATTACAGGGTACTCATCACAAGGTCCTGCTAGTTTTTCTACTTTTAGAGATCGGGTCTTTTCTTTCTCAGGCTGGCCTCTCCTGAGCTCAAGAAATCTTCCCACTTTGGCCTCCCAGAGTGCTAAGACTACAGATGTGAGCCACTAGCCACACCTGGCTAGATAACCTTTTGTTTATAATGTATCTCTCATTAGTAGTCTTTGAAGAGGTTTCATCTGAAACTTGAATAAAAATGTAAAATTTTCCTAACACTTAAAAATGGTCTTCTTCAAATGCTTTACCAACTATTCCCTAAAAGGAACCTCAAAATTGTGACTTTTAAAAGGTACAACAAAATGAATGCTTCCAGAATCTACTAAGAAGAATATTTTTTCTACTGTGAGACTCTCTTCTCTCATGAAGAATGTTTTAGAGAAACCTTTTTCTACTGAATTTCTAAGTCACCTTGGAAAAACATATCCCATTTGGTTTCCTTGCCCAAAAGTACCAAGAAGGGGAAATCAGGTGTGGCAAGAAAGTGAAAATCACTGAAAATAAATCATTAGGAAGAAACCTGAAAAACCAGGAGGCTCATAAAATAAGTGAATTAATAAAATAATAAATGTGAAATTATTATTATTATTTTCTGAGACAGAGCCTCACTCACTGTGTCATCCTCGGTAGAGTGCAATGGCATTATAGCTCACAGCAACCTCAAACTCCTGGGCTCAAGCGAGTCTCCTGCCTTCACCTCCCAAGTAGCTGGGACCACAGGCGCC